TTTTTGAAACGCTTCTCTTTGTTTGTAGGGCTCTCCGAAACTCTTCAATCGATCAATGTACATGTAGACGAGTTCAACATCAACAAGACTAATTTGACCAAAAGATCACAATCTTTCCATCAATTGCTCAACAAACTTTGACTTTCTCGGTAAGTGCGTTTAACAAGGAAATTAAGATTAACATAATTTTAGCTATTCAAACTGACGTCTTCTGCGTTACATTTCACGTTCCAATTCTTTGGACATTTCTGCCACGTGCGTTTGTTATTTTAGCAAAGGACGCATGAAGTCACGTTTTCGATTTGTTATGTAATCAAAAATTCACTTCCTTTCTCGCTGTCAGATGAAACATGTACAGATTTACCAGGGTTTCAACAAAACACTGACCCCCATACTGACCCCCCCACTGACTCCCTATAAAATCAATGGGAAAATGAACATTTAAAAAGCGCAGAACTATCAATGAGACCGATTCAATTTCATCAATAAATTTAGCTTACCTGAAATTTCCAAGATGGCAGACGCATTGCAGATTTCCGACTCTCTTGTTCTCCTTTGACTGTTCAGTGGAGGTTTTGTTGACGGAAGATCGAGCACAGAATAAGCTTGAATATCATCAAATATTGTTTTCGTTTGCATTGGAAAATGAAGCAAAGAAAAAAGCTGACAAATGAGCAGGCTCGCGAAAGGCTTGTGATGGACTGCTCATGCGAGCGGCACAAACATGCGCCTAAACCTCAACCGAAAGACGAATTTCATAAGGTAGTTCCAGGCCTCTTGCCTTGGTTTTGCATTTTAAGAACTGTAGTAACTGTAGTATAAACCATTTGGACAAGCCTGATGGATTAATTTCTCCTTGGTGCATGAAGTCGTCAAAAAGACCACGGATTCTCAAGGTAGAATTCTTGTATAATCTTATCAAAAACCAACATACCTTTCTACAAGCTCTACCACATCCAGATCGTCGGCAAGGAAAAGTTCAGAATGTATTCATAATGTATTATAAATTTCATTATGTATTCATGGCATAATTCGGATATACAAAGTGCAAAATAAGAGGCAAATCGATGAAAAACAGTAATGCTACTTACCATCCATGACTAAAGCCATGTGCAATGTAGTTTGTGCATGTGGAAGTTGAGGGACCTAGGGCTACAAGTTTGCCAAAATAAACTTCCGGTTGATGTAATCGTGTGTGTGTCACTCAAGGTTAGTCACATGCATGTTAATTTGCCAGAATTTCCTCGCTATTTTCATTGCTTAATTCTCCAATGGCTACATCTTGGAAGTTTCAGGTAGGCTAAATTTATTGATGAACTTGAATCGGTCCCACTGATAGTTCTGGGCTTTATTCAATTTCCATTTTCCCGTTGATTTTATAGGGGGTCAGTAGGGGGTCAGTAGGGGGTCAGTGTTTTGTCAAAACCCACCATATACAGTCCCCCCACCCCCCTCTACCCTGGGATCACTTACAGTCCTTGATTATACTGAAGACTGGCCATCTGACAAAGGAGAGGTCATCGGAGTACCGACATCATCATCACCAAGGACAGGATTTGAACACTCAGCTTTGTGTCCATCAATGCTATCTGGTGCAAAATGCTTGTCACATTTTGGGCACTGTTGAGGACGTTCAGGTCCACAGGTTTCGTAGATGTCAAACATGTAGATAGCTGATGCGATAATATTTTTCCCGATGAACACCGACACATCTTGGTTATACTGCGTCCATAGAATAATTCTGATCGCTCCTAACGGCACATTGACCAGAACAATGTACGATATTGAGTACAGAAATTGAAAATTAGCAGAGCGTACTTGGCCTTTTACGATGGCACTCAACTGGAGGAGAGCAAGGGTGGGAAGGAAAAAATTAATACACGCAAATGCAATTATGGCATTTTCCAGTCCAAGTGGAAGATTGATTTCCACGTCATCCATAAATAAGATCTCCAAGATGTCTATGCTGTCAAGTAAATCTAGCGTGACCCCTGCAGACAGTTTGTCAATGTAGATTCTGCGTTTGGGGTAACGCTTACCATCGTGGTGTGAATTCACTAGTAGCAGGAATAACATTGGCGTAATGCACAGAGCAACTTTAAGAATGTTCTGCCCGAAGAGTTTGGCATCCCCGAGCTGATCTGCAAACCGTTTGAAAATCACCGCCACCTCCGGGACCAAAGTTATAGCAACATAAGCCAGCCAGGCTACAAAGACATAAGCAATTTCATCGGCTCCGTCGTCGTTTTCAACCTCTGCACGCCGATGTTTGCCGTCGACGTTTTCCTTTGCTCGTCTCTTCTTTCTCAACTTTGCGAGAAATTTTCGTTTGGCCATGAACATCACTCCAATCCAAATGGTGAGGACAATAATGTCGGTGGCAATGAAGCCAAGAGATTGAACCTCGCGGTGCTCTACTAGGTAGTAGTCCAATATGGCTCCTTGTAGAATCAGTAAAAGAATACACAATGCTTTACCCACAGCTTCAAGGTTCAAACGGCACTTCATGGCGTCGAAATATTCTTGAAAGCTGGATGAATAAACTGCAGTAGTCGCGAAGCTGTCAATAAATGTGTCACAAACGGCTGAAAGAGAAATCGAAGCATTGATCACAGAAGTCTTTAAATTGTTTATGATCTCCTCGTTCACGGGGAAAAATAAATCAAGTAAATTCCGTTCAAAGCTCTTCGTATCTTACCCCAATTTTCTAGCGAAAATATGCACAATCGTCTGTCAAATTTCCGAGAATTGTGCTTATATACATAATTTACCGCTTTTTTTTTTCGCCATATTGGCTTTCAGGTCAGACCGAGTTGATCCCTGGGCTCAGATTTTTCCAAGGCGTGATCTCTCGTACCCAGTCTGCTCTCATGGTCTGCAAGGCGCGCGAATCAAATCAAGTAAATAATTAGACTGCCCTAAACCAGTTTCAAATGAGGAAGATTCGCTTTAAAAATTAATTTACAGAGACTCGAAAATAGTCTGTTTCTAACGCAATTAGGAGAAAAATATAAACAGATTCTATCAATTGTTTTCTGTCGTTGAATTACAATAAAGGAAATGACAATTTTCTGCTAATGAATTATTACAGGAAAAAACATATTCAGCCTTAGTAGAGTTACAAATTATTGATGACAGCGACTTAAGAATTTTTTTCTCTCAAGAATAAAAACAACAAGAAGATAGTCGAAGCAACTGATTCTGTAGTGAATGCCACTTCTCCCCCCGTTTCCCCACCACTACAACCATGTCGCTCTACGTCTTGTGTAAAACTTCCTTCAGTTGTGATGAGATCCAGATTCAGACCTCCCACACCCCAACATACGCATTTTAGAGAAGACTGAGTGAGGTGAGGGGGTTCATAAACTACTGAGGGAATTTTTGTTGACAGCCTGAACTATAAGGGTCAATTTAGGCAGCTATACTAAGGAAAAGATACAGCGAAAAAACAATAGCGTAAACTGCAGCTTACAAGCCCTCTCGCTTTTAAGTCCCACCCCTTTCCCTTCCCCCTCATTATAGTCCCATCTACCTGTAAACAAAAATTACTTCCTATTATAAGCCCCCCGGAAATATGCCCCTCGCACCGCTGTAGCTAATTTCTTATTCCGCCTACAAGTCCCCCACCTCCCGATATATAAAGCCCATTCGGTTATAAGCCTATCCAAAACCCGTTACGAAGATGTAGAAGTCTACGGCTTATGAGCGGCAGCCAGTTTCGGTATGTTGCTGTGCCGTGGAATCTATAACTTACCCGTATCAATATTTGAAATCAAAATGCTACAATAATACTTGCAATAATACTTGCAAACGATAGCTAGTATTGTTGTATATATCATGGCTCCCTATTTTACAAATTGTTGATAACTTATTACGATTTTTTTTTTCTCAAGAACAAAAATAGTGTCCCCAATTTGTTCTTTTTTAAGGCTAAATACTAATGACACTTAAATAAAGTCTTTCTTTCTTCTTCTTTCTTCTTCTTGCAAATTAAAAAAGCCAGCAAAGCCATATCGTAGAGCTTATTTAAGTCAAATGTGTTGAAATAATAATAGTAAAATAAGCTTATTTAAGGGCGAATTTAGCTTGCCCAAAGCTTGCGTTCTCTAAGTTTTCAAAACAATTCAGTTTCCCTTGCTCGGTATAAATTATTGTAACGAATAAAATGTGTGAAGTTCTCAAGAATCTTGTAATGTTGTCGAGAAATTTGCTTATATTTTCGTGAAAAAAACATGAACTGCTCTAAAACTTTTTATGTCGCTAATTCTCAACTGTCGACTGAAAGATGATTTTTTAAAAAGTATCCTCTTATTGCTCGGAATTAAAAATTAAGCTACATCCTTTGTCTAATCAATCAGTAATTATTAATACGAAAAGAATGTACCTGGGTTTTTAATAATAATTCGGTTGTTTGACAAACAAAAGAAGACGCGTTTTTACTGATATCCGCAAAGCTGCTTTCATCACTCCAGATAAACTTAATACGGTAGGAAATCAAACCTTCCTACAGGAAATAAAACTATTGACACAGAAGTATGACAAGGAAAAAGTTGGCCGAGTTTACTAACGGCTTAGCCGTTGTTATAGGAACCGTTTGTGAATTCTGATACCTTTGTCATCGTTTCTGACATACAAAACAGTCACTGTACTTCAAATCAAAATTACAACTACAGTAGTTTTCGATAATCTTTGATGCTTTCATGAGGAAATACCGTATTTGGACATAACAAACATCATTTACAGGTTAATAACGGCTATACAGGGAAAGTGATGCGGACTTTTACAATCAGTATGTTAGGTTAAAAACTGCAATGTTAAATCTGTGATCAGTTCGCGACGGTGGGATACATATATTAAGCTGTTATATGTTCACTCTTCACGGTTTCTTGGAAACGAAGTACCCCTCTGATATTATGCAATAACAAGTTTATACAACGCGGCGCGATCCACTTGGTTATTAGAGGCGAAATAACTTTTTACTTTATGAAATACCATTGAATACGACCAAAAAATGTCAGCCTTTATCCGCTTCACCAGGCTGAATTCACTTTATTCAAAATTCGCCTTTTTACCCCATAAAATTTCAATTCGGATTCAGTCTTTGGGCGCAGCGAAAAACAAACAGTTTCTCACGAAAGTGTTGCCATTAGCTTTAATTTGAAAACTTTAATTCGTCAACTGAATTAAAAATGAAAATTAAAATCGCTTTGGGCTGATGCTTGTTTCAGGTTGAAAAAGGTCAAAACGTGGCTGCTACGGAAAAAAAAAT